ATATGATCTTCCCCCAATCCCAATGATAGGAATGGAGTCGGGATGTGAATCTGAATATTTGGGAGGGTCGCGCCCCCCAGATCTATATATGGGCATTACGCATTGGGCCACCCATTGTTAATGTAACGCCATCTCGCCTAAAAGGCATAAGGAGATGGTCGTGTCTTGCAATGTCACAGCCTATTGAAAGCCTCAAAGCGCATTGGGGATTGTGTGCGTGTGTGAAGACATTTTGAAATAGGTCGCTCATTTGACATTGTCTTTCATCTTGAGTGAGGGTAGAAGTTCCAAGCTTCAGGATTAGCTTAACCTGATCGATGAGACTTCTACTTCGGGAGTAGGTGACATTAAGATTTCCTGTATGCATTATGTGTTTCGCTTGAAATTATGATCTATTACTGTGATAAAAAGATGGGGTAACTATTAGCTCACACGATGTGTGATATTTTGATATCTGATTTACACTTCTTAGTTCACTGCTAAAGAATTGTGATACATAACTCCATGTTGTGACACCTACATGAATTTTGAGAAATGTTTATTAATGGCATTGTATAGGTCGGAATACATGATGTTGATCTGCTTACTGTGCTTTATAGCTCATCCCTTTGATTTTCTCTATGTAGAGTGATAACCTACGATCCTTGAGAGTGGGCAGTCGGAGACACCGGTCCAATCAATGATGAATGGAATGACCACCAATCCATTCGAGAAATCAACATCGGTTATGCTGTCGAGGAAGAAAAAGAAAACCATAGTTGATGTGGAGTCAATAGGTGTAGCCGTGAAAGAAATTAGTCCTGCAATTATAGAGTTGAGGAAACCAACAGCTAACCCATATCTACAAGAGATCTACAAAGCTCTTAAATAGGTCAACGGCCTTGCTCGACCCGTCTTCATGCAAGAATATAATGAAATGATGGCAGACGTAAATATTAGTGATGGATTCTTAAAAATGATTGAAGAAGACCAGGTGTTTTGGATTAACACAAAGTATTTTCAATAAAGTAGTGACATATAAAGTGGAGTGAAATCCACATTTTTTTTATTTGAGTCTCTTTATTTGACTGAGATGGTTTTTGGATTTTGAGAATTTTTGTTATCGAATTGCTATACTTACTCTCTAACACACACACACACATACATTATATATATCTCTCTCTTTTGGTGGATGATGATGAACTTCTCTATCAATTTCTATATCTATGATAACATTAGTAAATCTTGTTGGAACAATGACAATTTTATTTCTCATTCTCATTCTCTCTTTAAAATAGTGATGATTAAGATCAATACTTTGCACTCTCTCTATCTTTAGAACGGTGATTATTAATACATTTATTTCTCTCTCTAGAATGGTGATGATGTTATTATCAAAAAATCTTTTTGGAATGATGTGATGATGACTTTAATTCCTCATTTCAGTAGAATTTTGTGACAAAAATGAAAGAAATGATAGTTTATATGTGAGTGCTGATAAAATGTTGGTAATGTATTTCTTATATTTATTCCAGACATAGCCAAAAAATAACAATTTATTTCCCAGGTTGCATTTAAACACTACCCAAACAGTAATAATCCATTCGTAGGTAATGTACTACGCCAGTAATATATTTCACAGATCATTTATTTCCAAGTATCCAAACGACCCCTAAGTCTCATCCTCGGTATCATTTCTCACCGTTTGTTTCCAAACTCTCCGTGATTGAGATCCATTAGTATTTAATTGAGATATTTCTCTCTATACATAAGGTCTCCTCCAAAAATTATCTCACTCTACCTGTCGCTTTCTCCCCCTCCTATCTCTCTCTTTTGCTTCTCTACCACCTCTCTCTCTTTTCTATACTCTTCTCTACCCTCTCACACACCCCCTCTCGCTCTCTCTATATAGCCTTTTTTTCTCTACCAGCCTCTCTCACAAAAAAAAAAAATATATACCAAATCCCCTTAATTTGATTTTATGCTCCCTGACATCTATAAATTTATCTTTATCTAATTATTTTTTAAAATCTCTAACTCAATTTATATTCGTCTATTTCCTACTAAAATCTGTAAAGATTTCCAATGATATACATGTTTCAATATTTTAAGAAGGTTCTTCCTAGATAAGGTCCTCTCTCACACACATCTCTCTATCTCTCTAAACATCTCTATCCCTACACATTATTTTTAGGAAGTATTTCTCTCTTGATGAAGTTCCATTTCTCTCTCAACATCTCTCATTTCATTCTCTATACATCACACACACTCTCTCTCTTATCTACTCTCATCCTATTCGTTTATCTTTCTCTCTTTCCACATACCTCTCACTCTCTATCCCGTGTCTCTCCCCCAACCTAAAGACCACCTGCAAATTTTAGGAGATAATGTCTCTCTCTTTTCAATAAGATGTACTCCCTCTCTCTCTCCTTTTAAAGATGAGAATGACATCTTTCTACAAATTTGTGACTACAAATCTTTGTATGATTTACGAACGGATCTTAAAATTTTAGGTAAAATATGAAGTGCTCCACTTATATGTGGAAATTACAAAGAAGGTTAGTCAATCTATTTTTTTAATTTTTTTCAAAATTGTCCTTCGATCAACCCGAATTCTTTTTGTTTTTTTGTGTTTTCATTAATAGGATAGTGCCCCAAGCTTTAAGGCACTGCCCTACTAACAAAAACATTAAAAAGCTAAGGCTCTAAATAATCAAAGTAAGGCATGCCTTTAAATAGTGTTTGAAAGATGATTTCTTGGTGCAAAAAATAATTTTCATCTCTAATTTAAAATATTTAAGCTTAAAAGATAATATAAGTCAAGCATATCTATAAACACTTGAAATATGGAAAATTGATGGGCAAAAAGAATGCATAATAATATATACTATTTCCCAAACTTGAAATCCATTTGTTTTTCACGTTTATACATCACGAGGTCAAGATGATCAATTTGAGCATTTTTCAAATTCAAAAGAACTTCCACTGGTGAATTTTTTATGTGCGTATTTATTTGATTGTTTAGAGCCTCAACCTTATATAAACTAATTTTAAATTGAAAATTAAGGAAATTTACTTATGGATTGGATTAAAACTCCGTTATAACGAAATGACCAAAAAATTGACCCGTTATTACTCAAAAGTACATAATCTCAAATTTTTTATTTTTTTGGACAAGCTTGATCCCGGTCCCATGTTTAAAACATGGGACCGCACGTTAACCCTTCCCATTGACCATCTCTCTCCTCAACCCTTGGCCTCTCTCTCTCATCCTCCGAACCCCAAACCCATCATCTCAAAGCTTTCCATACTTCCAGTACTCACAATCGATGGTGAAAACATAAGCATAACCCTTACCCTAAACCTCAAATCCGCTCCCCCAAACAGCGACGACGGTTGTCCACAGGGGCGTCGTCACTAATCAGCAAAACCAGAGGAGAGGACGACTTCAACCGTAACCGGAGGTGAAGTGAGAGGAGGCAAAAACACCTTACCCATAAAAGAAAACGGGTTGAGCTCGAAGGGGTTCTCAAAGAACTCCATTGAGGCCTGGAGGTGGTGTTCTCTTTGGGCCTAAACCTAAGGATTGATCCATTAAAATCAATAGGAAGGAGAAGAGGCTGGCAATTTTCGACTGAGACTTCAGGGGACCTCAGGGGAGTTGGGAAGGGGTTAACATGCGCATAATAAGGAGCGAATTTTGGGTCATTTCGTTATAACATACCTTTAATCCGGTTTGTTCGTGAATTTCCCTTAAAAATAAAATTTCAAGATTATTTTGTACAGTTGGGAAAATTTTATATAGAGTCGAGGCTTAAACAATCAAATTAAAGCCCACCTCAAAAATATCATTAGAAGAGGTCGTTTTGATTCCCACATATCCTCAAATTGATCATCTTGACATCAAGATGTATAGACATGAGAAAAATGAATTTCAAGTTTTGAAAATAGTGCATCTTGTAATGCATTTTTGGCTCGTCAATTTTTAATATTTTTAAGTTTTCATAGATATGTTCGAACTATATTATTTTTTAAACTTTAATTTTATAATTGAAGATGAGAAATAAATTTTAAGGCTATCACAAAGATTTTCAGTATTGAAACTATATTTCGTGACACTATTTGAAAGTGGGCTTGTTTAGAGCCTCGGTTCTATATAAACCACTCCCTTTCAATCGATCATATTTTGTTTTACATCCATTGTTAATAGTGAAAAGTTTATATACGGTTGCAACCTTAAAATGTAGAACTATAGGTGGACTTCAAAAATCCATCGAAAAATGTTGTTTTAATATTGAAAAACCCTCTAATTGATCATCTCGACATCGAGATGAATGACTATGAAAAAAAAAAGATTTTGGATATCAGAAATGGTGCATCTTACAACACATTATCTAGACCGTCTATTTTCAAGATTTTCATATATTTATAGATCTACTTGATTTTAATCATTTTTGAAGTTTAATCAAACAATAGATTTTGAGATAATATTAAAAATATTTTACATGAAAATTATATATTATGATAAAATTTGATCGTACACCTTAAATGGATTGTTTAAGGTTGCAACCTTATGGAAACCACGCTCTTTTTAATAAGGACATTTGTTGCTAAGTGGGACTCATGCGTCCCCCGAGACATAAAATACTTCTACCAAATTTTTTGGTAGGAAAGCTACTTCAAAGATAAATTTTTAAATGAGCCGCATCTGAATGGTTGCGTCCGCTGATGCAACAAGTTTCCAGAACCTCGAAGGCTACCATTAACTGGCGCCAACTTTTCAAACCGTAAAGCAAAAACTGTGCCGAAAATTTGATTTTCCAGCTTCCGTCTCAAACCGTAAAGCAAAAACTTCCAAAGAAAACACAAAATGAAAGACATAACACAGTCCAGCTCATCGATCCGTGGCAGAGCGACCAAAGATATTTTTCACCGTTCGATCATCCACCATCCAACGTCCAGAAAACGCTTACCTGTCCCCTGAGTCGTCATTACCCCCTATAAATATGTCTGTACCTAAGCAACTTTTTCATTCCACGTTTCCCACTTTCTTCGCGCGTTTCTCTTTCAATTCCTGTAAAATTTTCATTTCTCTTTACCCTTTTTTTATTTTTCGAATTATGCTATGATTTCTTATGCGTGTTTTTTTTTCAATTTCATTTTTTTGTTCATTTATTTCCATTTTAGGATTTATTTGATTTTCGTTCGTTAATTTCCTGTTCGTTCGATCTCGTTGAATTTCTCGCATGAAATCCATATCTCTGCATATGGCTTTTGGGTTTGGTGGAAATTAATTTATTGTTGGTATCAGTTTGTATTCAATTATTCTTTCCAACATTTGGGTTGAAATCTTGGTTTTTGGCTTGTAGTTATGTCTCCTACATATCTTTTTTTAGAGTTAGGGTTTCCTACTTTTTAGGTTTGATTTGTTCGTTTTGTTTTTTTCTCATCGTGCTTAAGGGTTAGGGTTGCTGAATTGTTCTTTTGAATCTCCATTGTCTCTGATTTCTCAATACTGAAATTCGTGTGTAGATTCCACTTTTAATGTACACTGATCATTTTATGTCCTTCCTTCTCCAAGCTTTTTGTCTTAGGCGTCTTGTATTTCAGCTTCTTCACTTTCTTGATACCTTAGATTTTTTATTTTTATTTTCCTCTTGTTTTATCCATAGCCCTTTTACCATTTTCCTGTTTTGACTAACAGGTGTTTGAAATATCAGGGAGACCCCAAGATGTCAGGTCGTGGAAAGGGAGGCAAGGGTTTGGGAAAAGGAGGAGCTAAGCGTCACAGGAAAGTTCTACGTGATAACATTCAGGGGATCACAAAACCGGCCATTCGTAGGTTGGCTAGAAGGGGTGGAGTGAAGCGTATCAGCGGTCTGATATATGAAGAAACCCGTGGGGTTCTGAAGATTTTTCTGGAAAACGTTATCAGGGATGCTGTGACCTACACTGAGCATGCCAGGCGTAAGACTGTGACCGCCATGGATGTGGTGTATGCTCTGAAGAGGCAGGGGAGGACCCTGTACGGGTTTGGTGGTTAGCTTGTTTCCCTATAATAAAGTCTTGCTGTCAAGAAGATGTAACAGTGTGTTTTGTATGGGGAACTTCTGGTTCCCTCTTTCTCTCCCCCTCACTCCAGGCCTCTGTAGAAGGCTGCTTGCCCTGTAGTTTTTCGGCGCATTCTAATTTTCACTGACATTTACTGATATGAAAGTGTAATGTTCATTTTTATTTTCCTCTTGGATTTTCCGAATTTGGCATCTGCAATTATCTATCATTGATTAAGTCAAATCAATCTGTAAGGGCTTCAAATAGGGTAGTTGTGGATTAGTTATAGTTGTTCCTCTAGTAATTATATACATATTGAGCTTGGGAAATGTTCATTATTTTTTAAACAATTTTACCCAGCACTGTTGAATGACGTTTGTTGGTTTTGCTGTTTAGTCTGTTTGAATGAGGTGATGATCTCTAGTTCACCAAAGCACTGTTGATAGACATTGCTATGAGTCATGACATTGGACATGACTTTTGGAGTGGACGGCATATGAGATGCATTTCAAGTATCTTTCCAATATCCTACACGTATCAAAAACCGGTATATAGGGTTAAAAAGTTTTTGTAGAATACTGGTCAAAGGAATCTGATGAATTCCCATGGAGATGGGGTAAAGAGAAGATGGCAGTTGTTGGGCCAGCTCAACAAAATGAGAATGAAGGATCCATGAAGTGATGTTGAACCAGAAGGATTTATTTAAGGCATATCATGTTAAGGCGAAGTGACTTGATCAGTTACAGAGGAAATGAAGATGTCATATTGGCATTTCTATAAGGAACCCAATGTTAGAAACTTCGCATTTTTTGGGTGTACCCATGATGGTGACGACCACGACAAATTTGATGAGGAAGCTAAAAGATGCATCTTGCTTAGGTATTTCATCAGAACGAAGAGCGTGTTGATGCATTAATTCAGAAAGCCATCAAACTAAATTTTGGAATGCTGGTGAATATGCACTATGGTGTCAAGTTGAAAGAAAAGTTATTTGGCGTAATTAGTTAGTGCTTTGATGATTTGCAACGCTACGTCTGCTCAATTCGTACTAAAAGTAGCGGCCCTTTCCCCATAAACTCTTTTAAAAAAAGGTAGTTGAAGGAGAGTCTCAAGCTCCGATGTGGATGCAAAATCCCCTGTGATGTTGAATGCTCAATTCGTACTAAAAGTAGCGGCCCTTTCCCCATAAACTCTTTTAAAAAAAGGTAGTTGAAGGAGAGTCTCAAGCTCCGATGTGGATGCAAAATCCCCTGTGATGTTGAATACTCCCGCACCAAACGAGAAGGACTCGACTCCTGCCCCGGAAAGGTCCGTTTTTCCCAGCGAGCTGGCTGTCCTGCAAACCAGCTTAAGTCGTTTGCCCATCCCAAAAATAAGGCCTAGCACAGCTCAATATGGCGCGGCCTGGCGCATTTACTTTTTATTTTATTCATTTATTTTTTTTAAGTCTTTCACTTTTTTTGAATCTTTATTTGTAGTATGCCAAATAAAAAATAAAAATTAATACGTGCTAAAAAAAATCTAGAAAATTTTAAACCTACTATGTCCCTAGAAAAACAATTTCTCTCTCTAAAACCCATGATCTCTCACTCTAAAAATTTAAAACCCATTATCTCTCACTCTAAAATTCTGATGTGGATCTCTAGAAACCTAGTTATCTCTTTTTATCTCTAAAAGCTTATATTCTCTCTCTAAAACTTTAATTTCTCCCTAAAAGCCCATCCTCTCCCTATAAATTAAATCTATCTCTAACTAAAAACTCACTCTCTTTTTTTCTCTAAAAACCCATTTTCACTCTTTAATTTCAATATATTTTTCTCTTTTTAGAAGACCAATATATCTTTCTCTTTCTAAAAACCAACTACTTCTGATTTCTCTCGACCTCTAACTAAAATATTTTTGGGTAAACTACAAAATAAAAGAAACCCCAATGCTACCTTTTTTATGCAATTTACCTCTAACTTAGCTTTTTCGCTCACTTTTTTGTTATAGCACTGTGTAAGTACGGTTTGGCAATAGAACACTTTGGAGTTACAAGGCTTTGACAATGTTAAGTGCGGTCCGGCAGTAGAACACTTTGAAGTCATGGGGATTCGACACTATGTAAGTATGGTCTGGCAGTAAAACTTATGGAGTCACATGGCTTCGACAGTTGCAAAGGTTCGTCTGGTAGTAGATATTTCTAGAGTTATAGGGCTTTGACATTGTGTAAGTGTGATGCGGCAGTAAATATTTTAGAGTTACAGCGATGTGGCTGTTGTAAAGGACGGTCCGGTAGTAGATGTTATTGGATTTCAGGGTTCCGACACTATGTAAAAGGTAGCTCGTCAATACTCAGTTTTGGTCAAGTAGTTGTCTTAGGGCGGTCTGGCACTTAAATTTTTGGAATAATGGGTCCAACAATATAATGGTGCGCTCCGGCAATGTGCTATTAGGGTACAAAAGTCAACGCCAAATCTGGTCAAAATGATTTTTTTTGGACAAGAAGGGCATTTCCATCTAAAAAAGAACTTTTTCCCCTTGGGTTTATTTTTATAGAAAGTTTGTTTTGGGGAAAAATGTTTGAGAAAAAGTTATTCGCACAGATAGTGTGGTCTTCGTGTTTTTTTTTTTTAATTTATCTATTTTAATTTTGGGAAAATATCCCCTCATCCTTTATTTTTAACTTTCATATTTCTTGAGATCAAGAATTGAAAATATTACTTGTAAGCAAAAGGTCTCCCTCTTTTATATCTTACAACCCCTTAGACCCCTTTGACCATAAATTTTTGACCCAAACAAACACTAAAATGACACCCTATCTAAATTCTATCTCTTTTTCCAATCCCTCTCTCACATCACCGTATCTCTCTCCCTCTCAAAACTCCATTTCTCTCTAAAACCCAAACTCCATCTCTCTTTCTTTCTCTCTCTGACATCACTGCCTCTTATTCTTGGCCACAGCCCCACAGGGAGTCAAGCTCCCACTTTCTCTCTCTACATTTTGCCTCTCAAGGCCCCTCACCTTTTTGCCATTACAAAATGTTGACCATTCTAGATCCAATCCATCCACCAAGAGAATGACATACTTGAAATCCTTGAAGGCAATCGTAGTTCTCTGCCTCTTTCCTCATCGCATCAAGCACTGAATCAATAAGCTATGCCCCTTTGTGTAGTGGCCTTTGACCCAGTTGTTTTTAGCACCAGATTGACCAAACACTAAGTTATCAGATTTGAAGATCTGATTGTAAGAACCAGTGCACACACTATCCATGGTTTCGGGTTCAAGAAACATGTGAATGGTTATGGGAACTAACTTTCCAAAATTTTAGTTATTTTTCTTTGAGCCAGGAACCAAACCAAAAGCCCGCAAAGCAAAAGAACAAGAATTCCCGAGAAAGAGCAACTGAGTTTAGAGAGAGTCGAGAGACTTGATTTGTGAGAGAGAGGGAGAGATTGAGTTAAGAGAGAGAGAGGATGGGTTAGGTGGAGGTTATGTTTTGAGGGAAGGGAGTCATTTCATAAGTTGTTGAGGCCAATAATATATGGTCAAAAGGGTTTAGGGTTTGAAAGGTAGAAAAGATGGAAACCTTTTGCTAACAAGTAATACTTTTTATTGGATCTCATGAGATATAGAAGTTAAAAATAGAAGATATGATGATATTTTTCCAATATTTTAATCCAAAATCTTGAACTAATTCATATCGTCTTTTTTTGACCTTTTTACAAACAAAAAAACCCTCTCTCAACCCTCTCTACTCTCTCTTGCTTGGCTGCTCCCTAACTCTTTCTTGCCTATCTGCTCTCTCTCCTCTCTTCCCTCTATGCTCTCTCTCCTCTCTTACCTTTTTGTTCTCAGTGACAAAGCCCTCTCTTTTTCTCATAGTGACAAAACCCATTGATTCAAAAGTTGCACACGAAGAAGCATCCTCTGGTGTTACAAATAGAAAGGTAAGGTCTCTGCTAATTGTGCTTCTCAGATTGTAGACACCATCCTGAGATTCAAGAAGCTCATACAAATTAAGATATTAGAGATTTGAGACTTAACCATTAGACTTTGGAGCTGATTCTTTCTGCTCCCAAAAAACTCTTCCCATTTCTCCCTAAAAGAAAGACCTATGTGATACTTTGTCAGGGAATACAATTTTTTTTTTTTAATGATAATAATTTGGCCAAAAGATCATTTACAGATGGTCTTATTACAATCAATAAATATTTCAAAATAAAACAGCACAGCAATAAAATAAAACTCAACCACTTGATGCCATTTATTCAACCTAATCTTATGCCTGAGAATATAAAATAAAATAGCAAGAAAGTAAAAAAGAAGATGCCGCAGATTACCTCAACCGAGCTTGTTACACCCCACATCGAGTCACCACATCCAATGATGCAGGATCAACAGTCTAGCTTTAATCTGGAACCGGGAAAACTAATTTCGACCAAACTTGGTAACCACCCTTAAATCTCTACAAAACCTTAACTCCAAAATAATTTTCCCCAAACCCTAATTTTCTCAGCCCTTAAATCTTTAGGTCAAGAGAAAGAGAAAATGAGACCTAGGGTTAGGGCGTTCCCCCTATGGGTCTAAGGAGAGAGAGAGAAAGCCCGAGAGGAGAGAGAGGCGCTTGGCCCCTAAGGAGGAGAGAGAGGTTATGGGAGAGAGAGGTGTGTAGAGATGGGGGGAGAGCACTCCTATTTATAGTGAAATTTAGATCTAGGGTTTCTTTAGGGTTTCTCATAGTTTGCCTCTTTCTTGAGATTGCATATAGACCGTTGATCAAAGTGACTTGTGGGGTGAGAGATCTGAGCTATCCATTCCATAGATGGGCCATCAACATTATAGAAGGTGCATGGACCATTATCCTTCTTTCCCTAAACCATTTTTTTATCAATATATTTAAATAAATTAAATCTATCAAAGATATAGTGCATAACATAAAATTGCATATTCCATCTCATAATTTCTATAAGAATATTTCAATAATATCAAGTCAAGATATTCCTTCAATAATCAAGATAAGATATGGTCAATATTTCCTAATCAATTTTTGGCCATATGCTGCAAGATAAAGTTACCATATTCAATAAACTTGTACTCAAAGCAATCGAGAAGAGGCATCCAAGGGTGGGGCGTGCCACCCATACGAGGCACGTGGGGCCCTAGCCAATACCCACATGGTGGCCCCATGTGCACTATAGGCCCCCGTGTATTTTTTTATAAATATTTTAAAATTGAACAATACGAATTTTAAAACATTATAACTTTGTAAATTAATAACTTCATTTTTATAAGTCCAAAAAT